GGTCTTCAAGCGCAGGATCTCGCAAGGCATGCGGCCGTCGTTGTCATGTCTCAGGCTGAAACGAACGAAAACAAACCGAGAGAAAATATTGCTTGATTCTGATCTTCGCATACACCGATCTTGGGCCAGAGGTCAACCTATCCAGGATCGGTGAGGTGGTAAATTAACGTCCCCCGAGATCCGCTCTCGCGGAAGGATCCTGGACCTACACTGCCGACAAGCCTTTGGGCAGTGGCTCGTTCGGCGTCGTCTACCGGGCAGTGGTGAACGAGACCGGCGAGCACGTGGCGATCAAGAAGGCTTGGGGCGGGCAGCAGGGGAAAGCCCGAGTATATTCGTATCCACCGCCTTCGGTTTGGGAGCCACGTGAATCGACCCCCCTTCATCTCCTTCCGCCGATTTTTATTATTACGGCTAGTCAGAGTTTGCGACATGGCTTTGGCCGACCCAGGTTATCAGCGCTGGCCCCAACGCGTCCCAAACGCCTGGAGAACCGATGTCCCAGGGCCCCAGGAGGAGGTGGAACAGGATCCCTTTGGCCCCCCCGGGCCCGATAATCTCCACATTCACCGCCTCTTGGGGCCTTGCAGCACCTGTGGACGTGTGACAGTGAGCTCTAGCCTCGCAGGATCGCTCCTCCTTGTCCTCCTCTTCCCTCATCCCTCCTTGGCCCTCCCTCCCCCCTTCCCCGTCCTCTCCACCTCCTCAGTCTGTCTCTCTTACTCAGGGCGCGCTCGTGATCGTGAATCGGAGCGTACGTTTCCCTTCTCGCTGAGCCCCTGCCCCAACCTCCTCCTGCCTGCTGCTTCGCCTGCCTCGCGTTTGTACAACATGTTGGGCATTTCGGGTGCCCTGCCTTTGACAACGCGTGTGATGATAGTTGTCCTTGCGCACGCAGATCCACTGTTTGTTCACACACACACACACATGGGCAAGACCAGGACCAGACGTCAAGGGCCAGCCGACCGACATCCTTGTGCTCTGCCTCATCATTTATCCCTTTACTCCTGCAAATTATCCCCTACCAGCGTGTTCTTCCTCCCGCTGTTCCTCCTTCTCCGCCGCCACCTCGCAATCTTCTTCGTCATTCGATCATTATTCCGCCTGCTCCTGCTTCCCTCCCTCCACCCGTCCATCCCTTCCCTCCCCTCCCCTCCCCTGCCCTCCGCTCAATATATGGTCGAGGGTTTGGGCCCCCCCCCCCAGATGCTAATGCCATCGGCCCCCCCCCCCCCCCGCGCGATGGTCCCCCCCCCCCCCTCCCCTGTGGGCGTGGACGTGGCGTGGTGCCCCCCCCCCCCCCTGTGGGAGTGGTGTGGGGTCTCCCCTGTGGGTGTGCGGTGGTTAGGGGTCCGTCAGCCAAGAGTCGGCGTCGCTGGCGCCGCCGCCGCCGTCGTCGTCGTCGTCGCCGTCGGAGGAGGAGGAGGAGGAGGAGGAGGAGGAGGAGGAGGAGGAGCATCGGCATCGGCATCGGCATCGGCAGATGCATCGCCGTCCCAGGCATGACGTAAAACTGCTACATTTGACGGAGGAGAGGTGCCCCACCGTAATGCCTAGCAGCCGTAGTGTGGGAGGTTGGCCTCTTCCGATGAAGTCAAGTGCGCGCTCAATCTGGCGTGCGCTGGCGGGTAACACCCGCTGGCGGAACAGACTGCGTTCTCGGCACGACGAAACCTGCCTTATTTCGAGCGTGCCTAACTAGTGGAAACTAACGCTATTGCGAAGGCCTTACGGCCGTTGCCGCCGACCCTGAAGATGACGAAAGACAACACGAGGGGGGGGGCAGGAGGAGGAGGAGGAGGAGGAGGAGGCGGAAGGGAGTAGGAGGAGGAAGGGTGAATGGGGGAGGAGGAGGAGGAGGCCTTATGGATGTTGGTTGGGATCTCGTGGTTGACTCGGAAGCGTCTGGAAGGCAACTTGAAGCCTCTTGGGGGCCGTTGTGGGGCCTCTTGGGGCCTCTTTTGGGCCTCTTGGGGCTTCCGGAGGCCGTCTTCGGCGCATCTTGGGGGCGTCTTGGCGCCGCTCGGGGGCCTCTTGGGGCCTTTTGGGGGCCTCTTGGGGCTTCCCGGGGGCCTTAGGGCGGAAGTCTCGAATTCTCGGTTCCGAGCGTGCCTAACTAGGGGAAATTAACTCTTTTTTTTTGCTTGGCTCTGCTTCGTCCTTGGACATGCGGCCCTCCGTTGTCACGTAGCGTTCGTGGCGTGTTGGTGCGCGCAACCGTTGTGGTGTTTCTGTGTGTCTTTGGTTTGCCCTGCTCTTCCTGGCAACGCTGCACAACGAAAACAAAGGAGGGAAGAAAGGAGGGCGGGGAGGAGGCAACAGGGCATGCGGAGAGGGGAGGAAGGGAGAGGAGCAGAGGAGTAGAGGGGAACAGAGGAGGAGTGGAGGGGGGAGGAGGAGGAGGAGGAGGAGGAGGAAGAGGAGGAGGAGGAGCAGGAGGAAGAGCAGGAGGAGGGAGAGGACGGGGAGGAGGGGATCGTCGTCGCCGCCGCCGCCAGCGTCGCCGCCGCCGCAGCCGTCATCGCCGCCGTCGTCGTCGTCGTCGTCGTCGTCGTCGTCGTCGTCGTCGTCGTCGTCAGCCTTTGCCTCCGGAAAGTGGCGGGTACATGGAGAGAGGAAGCGGGGGGGGGAGCAAGGTAGGGAAGAGAGGACAAAAAAAGAAAAGGGAGGGATGGAAAGGCGGATGCAGGGATGAGGAAAAGGAACATCGTCGTCGACGGTGTCTTCACCGTCGTCGCCTCCGTCTCGGTGTGGCGTTGTGTTCCGGTGCTTCAGGGAGCCGGAGCGGACGATGTCTTCATCGTCGTCGTCGTCGTCATCGCCGTCGTCGTCGTCCTCCTCCTCCTCCTCCTCCTCCTCCTCCTCCTCCTCCTCCTCCTCCTTTCCCCCCCCCCCATCCCATCTGGGGGGGGGGCCCGAGGACCCTGGGACCCATCCCATCTGGGGTGGGGGGGGGGGCCGTGGGCCCGGAGCCCGCGATCGTATATCCCTTCCTCCGTCCCGCCCCTCCCCGAATCTCCTCCACCCCTGCATTTTCACCGGAGCCTTGGGACACAGCCCGCCAGCGAGCCCTCCGCACTGGCCTCGTCTAGCTTTATAAGCCCGCCGTCAGCGACAACACGCGGATCATCAGGACAGTGTTGGGCATACCTTCTCGAGGATTTGCGAGGCCACGCGTGGGTAAGACCGACTCGACCGCAATCAGTGGTAATCACCACGTAGTTGTTCCGCCTCCTATCCTCCTCCGTCCTCCTGGTCCTCGCCACCCGCAGACTTGGCGGTCCCAGAGGCTCCGCCATGTGGCGTTCGGGAGCTCCTGCTCCTTCTCCTTTTCCTCCCCCTCGTCTTTTTTTTGCTCCTGCTCCTGCTCCTCCCCCTCATCCACTAAGCTTTTCCCTACAGGTAGCCCTCCCCCCTGTAGCGCCAGCAGACGTGGCGCAAGGGTAGGCCGCGCGTTGCGCCTGAGATGCCTTCACCACTGATGGTCCTGACCCTTGGGTTTCGGGACAGGTGCATGGATGGAGAGGCGCCCTTCTGAAACTTAGGTTCTCGCATTGGCACGGCACACAGGCGTTGCGAAGGTTGGCCACACTTGTATGGACGGGGCGGTCCTTCTCGAAATGGTGCTGCCGATCTGATCGCCGCGCACACTCGTCTTCAAAGCTCGAAGCAGCCACAATGATGGAGGGCGGTTGGTGTTCAGGCTGGTGCTCATAACTGTCCTCTGGCTGATCTCAAATCCATAGGATTCTCGAGGAAACCTATAGAATTCCTTTTGGGAATCGATGAGATTCCTTCGGAAATCCATGGGACTCCGTATGAATCCCGTAGGATTCTTCAGAGAATCCATAATTTTCTTCGAACAATCTGCAAATCCTTGGGAAATCCATCGGAATCCGCAGGACATCCCTCGGATTCCTGGGGAAATCCGTAGGACTCCTGTTAGAAGCGCACATCCGTCTACAGCGCTCGCGTCCGTGACGAGGACGTACTGCTCCTGCTTTCCGACATAGGTCCCTCGCCTTCGTGCCGAGCGCGCTCGCCTCCCAAAGTTGCGTCCATCCTGTGCGGGCATGGAGGGCGGTGTGCTTTCAAACTGGGGAACTCGCCCCAGCGCCGCGCGCACCTCGCCTGAGCAATCGTGCGGCAGCTGCAAGGATGGAGGGCGGTCCGTTTTCAAAACGGGGCTCTCGCCTGGGAGTGCTGCTCATTCGGCCGCAAAGCGCTTGACACCATGACAAGGACGAAACTCGTTTTCACTTCACCGTGGGAATGCTGGTTGAGACGTACCTGGGTTTCACGATCAGACGTTTGCAAACATATAATATAGCAGTTGCACGGATTGAGAGAGGTTCCTTGTCAGGTGTGGTTACGGTTTTCTTTATCTTGAGTTTCGAGAGGATTTGTGGAACAGTCACGTGCATGGGTGGGATCAATTCGTTTCAACATGGGGTTCTCGTTGGGCAGCTCGTTGGACTTTCTGATGCCATCTTGTCGCGTTCCTTGTAGTTCTCCACAGGCAAGGAAGGCTGCTCCTTTTCAAAACGGGGGTCTCTCCTGCGTGGCGGGCCACCCAACGTGCATGCTGTTGTTGTTCCAGAGGGCCGGTCTTGGAGTAGAACGGACAGCTCGTATGGACTCGTGAGGAGATGAGCGGGGACGGGAGGGTGTCTTTTCGGCATCGTTGACGCCTCCAGGTCTGCTGCGGCCTTCTTCCTCTTTTTCTGTGTTGGCCAGTGGTCGGGCAGAGGTGAGGCCGGGGCGAGGAGGAGGAGGAGGAGGAGGAGGAGGAGGAGGAGGAGGAATGACGAGGAGGGGCAAGGAGGAGGAGGAGTGGCGAGGAGGAGGAGGAGGAGGAGGAGGAGGAGGGGCGAGGATGGGCGAGGTGAGGCCTTCCAGGTCAGGGCTGGCCTGCCCAGACAGGAAGCCCTCTGGCGCCCCGAGGTGCTCCAGGACAAGCGCTACAAGAACCGGGAGCTGGAGATCATCCGGGAGCTCAGGCCGACGTCCCTCCCCGCCCCCGCCCCGCCCTCCTCCTCCAGCCCCGGCTCCTGCCACCCGTCCCTCTGCAAGAGCTCCATGACTTCGGCAGGGGAAAGCCGAACTCCAACACTTAGGATGATCACTAGTTTTTGCTCTGAGTGTGCATGAGGGGGTGGGAGTGGGTCTCAGTGTGATCGGTCTGAGTATGAGTGAGTCTGGGTATGAACAAATATGAATCTCAGTCTGAATCGAGTGGCAGAGGGAGGCGGGAGAGAAGGAGTGAGGCAGATAGGTCCCCTTGGTAACAAGAACCCTGCACTTAACACGTGGGACGCAACTATCCCGTATACTGTGCCTTTTATGCATGATAGATTTGGGTTGCTCGTCGGTAAGGTTATGCATCTGTATTCTGCCCTGGCGTTGAAAGGGCGGTCTCGCATTTTATGATAGCCAGAGGGCCTGAACGGAACGACGATGTCGCCGCCACGGTGAGGGTGGTTGTTACATCCCCCGTGCGCTCGGAGCGGTTGCTACCTTTGCCAGCTGGTGCTCTCGCTGATGTGTGTTTCCTTACTGTGTGTTCACCATGGAGCATCCGCCCAACGGAAGGACGCTGTCGCGGCAGCTGTGGCAGTGGTTGTCGTACTTGTGCATGGGTGAAGGTGCTGATCCCGCCATAGGGTTTGCCACATGCATTCGTTTCCGTTGAGCTCCATTGGAGCGGCGTTCCTGCCGCAGCGCTGGCCGTAGCCTTACATCCGCAGATTGGCGCTCTCCCGTTGCAGCGTGTGCCACGATGATTTCCGTAAAGCTTCCGTCCAGGGAGGCGGCGCTCTCGCCACGGTCCTGGCCGCGCCCTGCTTCCGCATGCGATGCTTGTCTCCCGTGGGGTGGCTCTTGCGCGCCGTGCTGTGTGTGTGTGGTGTGTGGTGCATGTTCGTGTGTGTGTGGTGTGTGTCGTGTGTGTGTGTGTGTGTGTCAGTGTGTACGCGTCCGTGCGTGCGCGTGCGGGTACATGTGCGTTTTTTTGTGTGTGTGTGTGTGTGTGCGTGTGTGTGTGTGTGTGTGTGCGTGTGCGTGTGCGTGTGGGTGTGGGTGGGGGGGGGGAGGGGGTGCGTGTGTGCGTGTGTGCGTGTGCGCATCGCGTCGGCGGCGATGCGTTTGCGTGGTGCGTGCGCGCGTGGCGCGGGCGCGCGGCGCGCGCTGTGCGTGCCTGCAGTTGGGCATGCGAAGCAAGCTGTCTTGGGCGTGCCAACGTTCGATTTCGCGCCGCTGTCACAATCGTCGTAATCTCTCCCAGGGCGGGCGTCGCAGGGTCTGGCATTCGGGTGAGGCGCCGTCATGGCACAGTGTGTGACCCGCATAATGCCCAGTTTGGGGCTCTGGGTGCCAATGGAGGAGGAGGAGGAGGAGGCGGAGGAGGAGGAGGAGGAGGAGGAGGAGGCGGAGGAGGAGGCGGAGGAGGAGGAGGAGGAGGAGGAGGGCCCCTCCGCCCCGCTCCCCCTGGGCTTTCTGCTCTCCCTCCCTTCCTCTGCCCCAGGGGTCTTCGGGCTGAGGTCCTCCGCGGTTTGTGCGGAGGAGCGGGCCCCCCCTCGCGCTGCTCCCGGAACGGGGCCCCCGCCCTTCGGCTCGACGCGGTGCACTCCACCCTTCCCGGGGGGCCCTGCTGGGGAGACGAAGGGCGGCTTCTTCGGCTCGCGTCCACCTCCGCCAGTGCCAGTGCCGGTGCCGCGCTGGCGATCCTCGGAATGCTTTTCCACGACGGCGTCACTGGCTCCGCGCGTGCCGAGTGCCGCGCGCGGTCGAAAGAGGCTGGGCGCGCAGGGGGCCCCTTCGGCTTCTGGGGTCCCGCTGGCCTCACTGCGGATGGTGGCGCGGAGGACGTCGCCCAGGGTGAGGACGTTGGCTACGATCGGCGACGCCGCGCGCGGCTCCTCGTCGCCTCCCGCGGGCCTGAAGCTCGTGGACATCCTGGGGGGGCTCGGGGCGATCTCCCAGGTTGCGGACATCCTGGACGGCCTCGCGACGATCCCCCAGGCCTCCGTGGCAGACTGGGCGCAGGTCGTGGCGCGTGACGCGCCTGGCGGGTCGTGCCAGGCCCACCCCGCCGCTGCCGCAGGCGACGGCGGCTTCCGGGTGCTGGCGCCCAGCGACGCTGGGGAGGAGCGGAAGAGCCACTGGGGCCTCACCGAGGTCGGGGCGGAGGGCAGCGCCCGGGGGCCCCAGGGGCCTCTTTCTCCCGCCGATGCCCCCCCCCTCCTCCGCCGCCCGCCGCCTGAGCCCCGGCCCCGCCCGAGAGCTGCCGCCCCCTGGCCCCCGGGGCCGGGCCCAGAGGCGACGCCGGCCCCCGCGCCGGAGGCCTCGACGCCCTCTGCGGCGGCAGTGCGAGTTTGTGCCCACCTCCCCTCCCTCCTCCTCCTCCTCCTCCTCCTCCTCCTCCTCCTCCTCCTCCTCCTCCTCCTCCTCCTCCTTTGCTTAGCACGCTTGCCGTTTCACCCAATTGTCTAGTATGTCTCACAACTTCTGCCAACGCACCTCCCCTGGCATGCCCAGCGGCGCGCATCACGTGGGAGATGGGCGGAGGCCCGCCCGCGGGGCGGACGCAGGCGATGCTCCCCAGGGGGGCCCTCCCCTCGCCGCCGCGCACCCTGGTGGGGGGCCACATGCGAACCCTACCCCTGCCCCCCACGATTTTTGAGGGGGAGGGTGGGGTTCACTTCGCTCGGGAGCTCTCGAACAAGGTGAACCCCACCCTCCCCCTCAAAGATCGTGGGGGGTAGGGGTAGGGTTCGCATGTGGCCCCCTACTTGCCGAGAGCGCTCCCAGGGCGCCTGGCTCGCCCCGCCCGACGGCCTCGCCGAATCGCCCCCCCTGTCGGGGGAGAAGATCTACTTCGGGACAGCGGTTTGGAGTCGCCCTCCCAGGGGTTGGCGCGCCCTCCGCGCGCCGGGGTGCTTCCTTCGCTGGGCGCGCCCCAGGCCGCGGGGAGGGCGCCATGATCTCCCAGCGGTGCACCTATTCGCTGCTCCCCCCGCCCCGTTCGGGCGAACCCCCATCGACATGCTCAGCGGCGTGAAGGACGACGGGGATGGACGAGGGCCCTCCACTACCGCCGCCCAGGCCGCGGGGAGGGCCTTTGTTTCTCCCGTCGATGCACCTGTTCGGCGTTCCCCCGATCGCGAGCCCCGCCGCCCGCTGCCTGGGCCCCGGCGCCGCTCCGAGAGCTGCCGCCTCCCGACCTTGGGGCCGCATCTGGAGGCGGCGCTAACCCCCCGCGAGGGTGGCCTCGACACCCTCAGAGGTGACACTTCGAGTCTGCGCCCCCCTGTAACCCGAAACCCGAAACCCGAAACCCGAAACCAAACCCGAACCGAAATCTAACCGCTGATTTCAAAACCATAACCTGACACCGTAAAACCTAAACCCAAAACCCGACTCCACACCTCAAACCCTACCCTAAACATGACCCCAGACAAGCACCAGGTGAAGCCCTTAACCTTTGCAGTTTTTCTGGCAACCACTTCCCAAGTGCCAGCAAGCACCAGCCAAGGCGCCCCTGGTGCTCTCAGTGGCGCGCACCGCGACGGGGATGGGCGGAGACCCGCTCGCGGGGCGGACGCTGGCAGTTCCTCCTTGCAGGAGGGTCCTCTCCTCGCCGCCGCGCACCTTGCCGAGAGCTCTCCCGGGGCGCCTGACTCGCCCCGCTGGAGCGGTCATTGTCGGCTGTTCTGTCGCTCAGACGGTCGAAAGATTTGAGTGCTCGGCCGCTTCGCTGTTCGACGCGCCCCCCCCCCTCTCCGCGCCTTGCTGGTCACCAGGTCTCGGCGAACTCCTGCCCCTGTCGATGGACCTCTGCCAGCGCCGCTCTGCACCCCCATTTTGGCGTGGTCCTCTCAGCTTTCAGTCTCGTGACATCAATTTCAAATTCTCCACGCAGCCGTTTGCTGCTATTCATGGCCAGCCCCCATCTAGCATTGCCTTCGCGGGCGGATCAGGCACCCGGCAGGTCCGGAGGTCTCCGCACTTGCCTATTCGTTGGTCATGCTCCCCCCCCCCCCTGGGCGTTGCCCAGCTGCTGCCTGGCGCCGCGGCTGGCTCCCCCCCCCCGGGCGCCCGCCCCGCCGCCGCGGGGACTGTCCTGAGCGGGCCCGCTTTCCCTCCGCCCGCCTGCGCTGGTCTTCCTTCCTGTTCCCCCGTGCAGCGCGGCCCAATATGCATGCAGCGCGCCACACTGATGCCCAATCGCCGGAGGCCACCAGCCGCCGACGCAACAAAAACGTGAGTGTGTGTGTGCGTGTGTGCGTCCGTGCTTGCGTGTGTATGTGTGAGTGTGCGTGTGCGTGTGAGTATGTGTGTGAGGGTGTGTATGTGGTCGTGTGTGCGTGTGTGCGTGTGCGTATGTATGTATGTATGTGTGTGTGTGTGTTTGCGTGCGTGTGTGCGTGCGCGCGTGCATGCGAGTGAGTGCGTCTGCGCGTGCGTATGCGCGTGCGTCTGCGTGTGCGTGCTTGTTTGTGCGTGTACGTGTACGTTGTTGTTGTTGTTGTTGTTGCTGCTGTTGCTGTTGCTGCTGCTGCTGCTGCTGCTGCTGCTGTGGTGGTGGTGGTGGTGGTGGTGGTGGTGGTGGTGGTTGTTGTTGTTGTTGTTGTTGTTGGTGTTGTTGTTGTTGCTGCTGCTGCTGCTGCTGTTGTTGTTGGTGGTGGTGGTGGTGGTGGTGTTGTTGTTGTTGTTGTGGTTGTTGTTGAACATTATTAATTCTAAAGAATAATTATTGTTGGGACCCCTGGTGCACGGCCCCCCTGCGCCGCCTAGGCCGCAGCTACATTTTCATCACTTTCGTGAGGAAGCCTCAGGTAATTCGATGTGATCAAGATCCGGTTGTTTTGTTCCCCCCCGCTTTCCCTTGCAAAAAACACTATAAAATGACATTTCTTGTTCTAATATAATCAAATTTCAAGAATCCTTGCAAAAAATAAGGTAAAGTGGACATTCGCGCGCGCAAGACGAAATCCTTCCA